TGTTGCTGCTGCTGTTGTTGTTGTTGTTGTTGTTGTTGTTGTTGTTGTTGTTGTTGTTGTTGTTGTTGTTGTTGTTGTTGTTGTTGTTGTTGTTGTTGTTGTGTGCGTGTGTGTGTGTGTGGGGGGGGGGGGATATGCATTCGTGCGTGTGCTTGTACATATACAGTACTGCCGGGCACCAAAGAACGAACAGACTAGAAGTTCACCAAGCACAGAATACTAATGTGCACACGGTGATTCAGCTGTGCATAGATTGTAGCACATGACAAGAATGGTTTAGGCTACGAGGCTGATCCCTTAGTTCTTCTGCGACCGACAGTGCTGTAATGAGGGGGTAATTTTCATTGTTTCCGAAAATCGGAACAAGGAATTCCAATTGCTGATGCGTACATCACTGTCTTTCCATTATTGTTGTGTGCAGTTCTTCATCAAGGATACCAAATCCAGCAATGGTACCTTTGTGAACAGTCACAGATTAAGTCGTACAGGCGAGGAGAGTGCACCTGTCCCGCTACGAGATGGCGACATCGTTCAGTTTGGTGTCGATGTTACCGAGAACCAAAACAGATCAGGTGATCATGGCGTTTGGCAATGTTGTTGTTGCTCTCTCTCTCTCTCTCTCTCTCTCTCTCTCTCTCTCTCTCTCTCTCTCTCTCTCTCTCTCTCTCTCTCTCTCTCTCTCTCTCTCTCTCTCTCTCTCTCTCTCTCTCTCTCTCTCTCTCTCTCTCTCTCTCTCTCTCTCTCTCTCTCTCTCTCTCTCTCTCTCTCTAGCTATCTAGCTATCTAGCTATCTATCTATCTCTCTTGTTGACTACAATCTGTACAAGAAAGTACTGTGGCCTTTGATTGTACAGTCTGTATCGGCTATAGCGTACCCTTTTGATTCCGTGATTTTATCACTATATGCGATACGATCGATTTTTTTCTTCTTTTTTCGATCGACACATGGAATGCAAGGAAATACTTCCAGCATGGCGCTTCTAACAAATGAGCATGCTGCATAGTTGACAGTGCCCGCATTTCCGTAAAAAAATTATGTTATGTATATGTATCACTATAAAAATAGGCAACGTGAAGAAAGTAAAAAAATAGGGCCTTTGATATTATTGCTACTTGTATTTTAAAGTTATCACTATAGCCGATAATAATAAAGTGTGTTATGCATGTTTTGATTCTTTGTTGCCATCATAATATCCGATATATCATTACATCCGATAATATTGGTTATAGTGATATTTTTACTGGATAAAAATAATACATTTCGCTTTTGATGTTTTGTACCAATATCACTGTAGCCGATATATTCTTACATCCGGTCACTCTATAGTTGATACAGACTGTATGTGTTCGGTATTTGAATGTGCACATATGTGCACAGACCCATGTCACTAGAAAGTAGTGCGACGTGGCCCAGTGATGATACAACAGGTAAAAAGGTAATCATGGCCCATGGCCCGGTCATAGGGGCACTTGGAGGCCTCTTGTTTCAATGACGTAAACATAATGATGGGGGGGGGGGGGGCATATTAATTTTCTTCTCGCGTTGCCTTTGTCTCCTCAGTGGAAGTCAGGTACCTAATCCGAACTTACAATGTGCTGTCTGTACATGTATTGGTTGTATCCATCTAACTGCAGTGACGCATGGATGCATTATCACCACGTTTCACTGCGACCTGGATGTGAAGAAGTATGTAACTTGTATCTTTGAAACTCTATGCACTGCTTTTTCATTGTTGTAACTGTTGACATTGTTGGTGAACTGTAAGCCATGTTCTATCATTGCCATGGTATGTTGTTGTTCACATGCCGCACACGGCCATGCATATCTTGGTGAAGTGATTTTAAGTATGTGTACCACAAGTCTATATTTCCGGGTGCATTAAAGCACAGTAGCACTCTCCAGATCCGGATGTCCCTAGTCAGGGCATGTCCGTCTACCGGACATCTTTCTGACCCATCTGTAGTCACGAAAATGGCTTTTCAATGAGAAAAAAAAAACCCGAAAACAGTCACAGTGATTGGCATAGAAATATTTTCTTGCGTGCAGTATGTAATTTCCGAGTTACAGGCAATTCCTAATTACGGGCAGTGCTCACCGCTCGGTCCCAATCTGCCCGGATCTAGCGAGTTTTGCTGTACCAATGATGTAGCTCAATGGATAATAGCTTATGGCTGAGACTTGATGGATGTGTAAGCGTAAGGCTTTCTGTTGTGTGTAGAGACCAGTATGAATAGAGTATACAGTAAAACCTGTAATGGCGACCACTCGGATATAAAGACCGCTCGACCATGGCGATCACCCTTTCCTTGTCACGGACGCATTCACATTCAAAACACCTCGGATAAGGCGACCACTCGCTCAACGCGACCGGCGACCACCCACCCGCGACCGAGTTGCACAGTGCTAGTCATGTAAATGTACGCATTGCATGGTGCACCAGGCATGGTAGATCTACACATCAGTGCAGGAAGTGTAGATGTACTTGGTGCATGCACGACATTTGACAGGTCTGAGGACCCCAGGCAGGTGTGTGCACTGACTGTGATGCACTGATCAAAAATATGTATCACATGTGGATATGGTCACGCGACCCACTGAACCTGGATAAGAAGACCACCTGACCACGGCGACCACTTTTTCTCGTCCCTTGAGGGGTCGCCTTAGACAGGTGTCACTGTACGACACAATTGATAACACGAGGGTGGAGGTGGAACAACACAATTGGAAAGTTTATCATACAATGTACTGAATCTAGTTCGTATCTGGTGCTGATGGTATTCAGTTTGCGATTTTTATTTGTTTTTTGTTTGTGTTCTGTGTTTTTTTATTGTTTTTATTGCCTTGCCATTCTCAGAACCGGTAATATTGCGCAGGTAAGCAACGTGTTTTTGTCTGAATTTTGATTCTGAATACACGCAGTCACACATGGATGCGTAGAATAGAAATTGGCCTTGTGCAGTTCTGGTATTGGTGGTGTGGTGCTGGTGCTTGTGGCCGGGTACTTCTTGAAATCTTTGTGATGTCTACTTTTGTGGAAGTTTTTTCTCTTGTGGGTGTACTGTCCGCTTTCTTTCTGCTAAAATTTGATTGCGTGTTTACGACTCTTGCAGGATCCTATGGTTGATGTATCTGCTCGTGACTTGGATGAGCTGGCTCGAATTCTAATAGTAAGTGTATGCTGCATATGTGTATTTGTGTGCACGCCCGTGTGTGTGCGTGTGTGTGTGTGTGTGCACCCGTATGTGTATAATTATGTGTGTGGTGTGTACGTTTGTGTGTGTGTGTGTGTGTGTGTGTGTGTGTGTGTGTGTGTGTGTGTGTGTGTGTGTGTGTATGTATGTGTGTGTGTATGTGTGTGTATGTATGTGTGTGTGTATGTGTGTGTGTATGGCTGTGGCTGTGGCTGTGGCTGTCTACATGTACAAGTACCGTATGTCCACAGTCTGTGTATTGGTGTGTTCACATGCTTGTGCTGTGCTGTATAAACCGTGTGCATACCTTCTTTGGACATACGGCATGACATTGCGAGTCTATGCAGTCATGGTGTTAGTGTATTGAGGCATAGTATGTTCTCTTCTTATTCTTATTCAGGAAACTAAGCAACATCAAGAAGCTCTGGAAAGTAAACTGTCTGCAGTGCAGGTAGACATCAATGAAACAAAAACGGAAACACAGCAGGCCTACAAGGTACTTCGAGTATGCTATATCTTGGCTTATCTCTTTGTGTTGGTTTGTCTTCTATGTGCTCGTCTGTCTGCCTCTACACAAATCCATGACCCAGTCTTGTACATGGAAGCCAAGCTTTGATTTTAAAATGACGTTTCAACTGGCTATTTCTTGCCAGGACGTGAAAGTGGTTGTTGCAGCAGTCAGCATGCAGTTTATATGAGCTTAGGTAGCATGTGACTAGCCTAGAGTGTGAACTTGTACTGTGCTGACAAATGTCACACTGAAAGCTGGTAGCAGCACCAGACTTGGCACGTTACCAGTTGTTTCATTGATCGATTCATTCCTCGGCGTTCAAGGAGTGAGAGGTCGCAAACTGTGGAGACTCTATTTTCGCTCCTTGCAAAATCATTGCACCGCTTTGGTGCAAATAGCTCCCCTCCTGTGCGTGTATTTACAGTGCTCTCTTTCCCTGATTTCTCAACATCACTCTGAAGAAGACGTGGACTTCTATTTGTTGGACGACTGTGTTTGTCAGAGTCCAGTCCTGCTTCTGTTCTGTGATTTGGCTATCTATAGTAGCATTTGATAGCAGAGTAGTGAGCCGTGTAGGCTGTTCAGCCTTGGCCAGATCTAGCCAGGCATCGTGGATATCGCTCTCCTGATCGATTTACTCGTTGTTATCCGATGCTGAATTGAACCTGCATGCTCCTCTTCTTTCTCTCCTCTTTTCCTGTTAGTCTTACCTGGATGAGGATGAGCTGCTGTCACGTATAGAGATGTTGGAAAATCAGCTGCAGTTCTACACACAAGACCTGACCGAGGAATGTCTGCTCAAGCAGCTGACAGCTGAGACAGAAAAACGGCATCAAGAAACCAGCAAGGCCAAGGTGAGTTGCGACCTGTTTGATGTGATCTTTTTTCTTAGTTGCTAGAGCTAGAAAGGAAAGTTTCATGCAATGCATACTGGGTAGGGTTTCCAGAGCAGGAAACATGCCAAGGCTGCCATCATCCTCTCCAACAGTGTCCCTGTCAAGTATCGACAGGGCTGTGGTGGGGAAACTCAACTACTACGATGTCATTTGAACGCAGGGTTCTGCATTCATCTTTGTCATTGAGTTATTACCGTATTTTCCGGAGTATAAGCCGCACCCATATCTTTTTGTCACAAAAAGCAGACATCTACCCTATACTGTACACCGCCCAATATTCGCGTCACTAATTTTTCGCGATTTCTTAGAGCCAGCAAGTTTGCGATGGCAAAAGTTCGCGAAGCACTGGGGCCACTTACATGCACCCACTGTTGAAGTTAGATTTCACGAGGGTTAATTTTCGCGTGACGCTCTTCTCGCGAAAATAGCGAACATTAATCCGTCGCGAATATTAGGCAGTTTACAGTATCTCAACATTCAGTTGACCATGCTACATGTAGTATAAGCCCCCTGACTTTTTGGGGGTGAGTTACGAGTATGTAAAGTGCAGCTTATACTCCGGAAACATACGGTATACTGATAGTGTGTCATTTGCATCAGTATAGCATTGCACACCACTGAAGTGTTCCAGTTGCAAACTCTTTTTTTAGCGAATATGTGATATTTGTGTTGGCCATGGTTTTTGTAATCACCTTTGGGCAGTAGCTTATATTTTTTCTTCTACCAATATGTACTGGTTTAGCTGGTTTAGTGCTCGTGCAAGGCAAATCTTGATTCCGCTGGCATTGCTTTGGACTAAGTTTGTTTAAGGCCAAGTAAAAAAAATTATTGTTTATCGTCCGCGCCCGCCCCAAATTTTCACCCTCCCCGCCGAATTATTTTATTTTTTAATACTGGTAAATGTACTGTATGTACTGCGGTCTACAGCCTCTAATCAGCATGGCCGTAGATTTTCGAAGGTCAAGTCCACAGACTGAACCATAACTTAGTTGCTATGGGCTTGAAAACTTAAAAGTGAAACTGATCATAAGCTGCCTGATTTTCTTCGTTTTTCTACGTAACGTTGGTTGTTCCACTTTCCATTATCTTCTGGGGTTGCGAACACCTACCCTACAGCCATAAATGCATAATAAAAAAATAAAAATAAAAACCTCCCGTCCGCCCTGATTTCTCGGGAAAATCTGACGATAAACAATCAATATATTTTACATGGCCTAATGTCGGCTGAATGTTATTGGCATGTTCATGTCTGTTTTTCTGCAGGACAATATCAAGCGGGTATTGCAGGAAAAGCTCGACCTATCTTGCAAGCTGTCTGAGACAAAGGTTAGAACCTGGCCAAGACAAAGGACGCTCATTGTGCAGTGTGTCTTCGATCCCACCATTGCATGCTGATCACATTTTGCGCACACTGTGGGTGTTGGAGCTACGGATCTGGTGTTTGAACATGTACTGCTCGCCTCATAGTTCTTTGTTTCGGTGTCACTCTTTCCTCGACAGCTGGAGTGCGATCGCTATCAACAAGAGGCAGATCGGAGGACATTGTTGTATCAGGAATCTCAGAAGGAGATGAGCGTTCTTGCTGAAAAGCAACGGCAGGTAGGGGTGTGCTTTTGCCAGTTTTGGTGACGTGATCTTGTTAATTGCCTTCTGTGTCTGTGTCACTGGTGTTATACTGTACCGGGCGTTAGCTGTCGGATGTGCCCGTCTATTAGGAATGCTATGTTTTGCAGGATTTTCTTGTCCATTAGACTACTACACACTGCCTATTTCTTGTTGTCTGGTCTATCAATATTGACAAACAATGTGCTTTCTTCATATTGTTTCCGTTGGTTGTTTAGCGTCTTGCTGAAATGGAAGAGCTACGCACTCAGCTGAACAGCATGGAAGAGCGGCATTCTGTTTTGGAGCAAAAGGTGAGGCCAACTTGCAGTAAGAACAGTGCCACGTTCAGATCTGCTGCCACACAGATGGTAAAGGCATCTAACCATAGTTGACAATTGGAATGGATGGCGGTCAAGTTGTAATACTTTACTTGCGTCACTTTTGGCAGAGTATGACAAAGCACACGCACAGCACTCACAGATTATACGAGGGCATTGCCATACTGCCAAATGAAGGTCCTTGACTACTGTGTCCCATTGAAGAATGACATCAATGACAAATCCTGCTTTTCCGATCTCGAATGTGTAGTGACACGCTATGACCTGTGTGCTCTTGCAGAGACTGATTACAAGTTGATTGCAGAAGTTCATGCATAAGTGCATGCATGTATCTCTGTTCTTGTTCTCAATGGAGCCATGGGGAAACAGCTGTATGGAACTGTTGTATCCTGTCCATGAGCTGCTACACAATTGTTTTCTGTACATCCTACCTGCTGGTGGTGATCTGGCAATAGCTCTGTTAGTTGAAGTGCACTCAATGTAGCGCATCACTGGGCAGTGCACATGTGCCTGCTATACCAGTCCGTGTTTTGATAGGTGTGCCCAGTTTTGAACTCTTTCAGTATGAATCTTGTCCAACGCTCTTCCTTTTCTTTTTCTTCTTTGCCCTTCTGACTCCACAGTCCTCGGAGGAACACACCGGTCTTAATGCGCAACTCACTGAGCTCAAGGAGAAGCACGACAAGCTTGTTGATGAGGTGAGCAGCTGGCGTCACCTGTGCTGAAGGTTCTGTCCCCGAATCTTGCTTTGTGTGCAGTGTGTGTGTGTGTGTGTGTGTGTGTGTGTGTGTGTGTTTGTGTGTGTGTGTGTGTGTGTGTTGGTAGGATGCATTCATTGTATGTGCTTTCCCACACCTCGTAGAGCATATTTCAAGCCACTTCTTCTGTGAGCGTCCTAAAGTGTGTTTGTGTTTGCGAGTGACTGCCATGTACTGCAATGTGGACTTTGCTATCGCTGCTCTTTTGGATAATGCTTCACAGAGAGATCGTCTGGTTGGCACTAATGCTGCTTATGAGGAGCACCAGGCATCAATATCTGGTGAGTGATGGCATGTGCTGGTTTTCATCTCTGCTGTAGTAGGTTTTACTGTGCGTGCATTGGCTACCTGCTCCAGGATAGACAGCATCCATGTCTTGCACGCATACGCACACACACACACACCACACACACACACACACACACACACACACGCGCGCGCGCGCGCACGCGCGCGCGCACACACGCACACACCATGTGACTTGGAAGATGTAGCACTTCAAAGTGGTCATTGTCGAAATTTGTTTGTGAGATTGGGCTGTAGTACACATGCTGGTCTTTTATTTTGGCACTCGCGATTTTTGGCAGGATTTGGGTGATTGCCATCTAATTTTACCTCGGCATTAGCTATGGTTCTCCAGCAGATTTTCTGGAAACAAACATCCACATACCGTAATGTCGCGTATTAAAGTCGGGCCTATTCCTGTAGATGCCGATGTCAGGGCTAGGCTTCTATTCACATCAGGCTTGTATTCAAACCAGGTATATCTATGTATATCAACACTAAAACCAGGCCTATGTGCTGCCAGTGCATCTTTAGAATCAGGCTTGTATTCGAAACAGGCTTCTATACGAGACAGGCTGTAATACAGGACACTACGGTATGTGTACATGTGCAGTACATTGAGCTCCTTTCTTCGACACCCCCTGTATTGCATTGTACATGACTGTACAGCGCACACTATGGACTACAGCACACCCTTGTCAACTGGGAACTTAGTAGACTACCGTCAACTAGAGAGCAAGTGTTTGCAGATGTCATCATAAAGCGTTCACATAGTTGTTGTATGAGACTGGTACCCAGCCGCCTCTGGTAGAAAGGGCACCGAAGTACTGTAAAAGCAGAAATTTTCGGTGGTGTTTTATTTTCGGTAACTTCGGTGCCGACAATTTTTACCGAAAATAAAACCCACCGAAAATTTCGGTACAACCGATACTGTATACATGTAGTACAGTCTGTATCGGCTATAGAGTGACCGGATATAAGAATATATCGGCTACAGTGATTTTGGTACGAAATATCAAAAGCAAAACGTATTTTATCCAGTACAAATATCACTATAACCAATATTATCGGATGTAGTGATATATCGGATATTATGATGGCAACAAAGAATCAAAACATGCATAACACACTACATTTTTATCGGCTATAGTGATAACTTTAAAATACATGTAGCAATAATATCTGAGGCCCTATCTTTTTACTTTCTTCACGTTGCTTATTTTTATAGTGACACATGTACATAACATAATTTTTTTATGGAAATGCGGGCAATGTCAACTATGCATGCAGCATGCTCATTTGGCAAAACGCCATGCTGGAAGTATTTCCTTGCCTTTCATGTGTCGATCGAAAAAAGAAAAAAAATCGATCGTATCGCATATAGTGATGCATCGGTTATAGTGATAAAATCACGGAAATCAAAAGGGTACGCTATAGCCGATACAGACTGTACTAGTACACTTACCTGGAGAACGGGTTTTACCGAAAATTTCCCTCTACCGAACCGCCGATTTTGGATAATACCGAAAATATTATACCACCGAAAATTTCTGCTTTTACAGTATACATGAGTTGATATGCATTTTCCCGTTTTGTGTGGATATTCTTTAATTCAGTACCATCGTCAATCCAGCAGAACTCTTCCCAAGGGATGGCACCAGATTAAAGATGTCTGACTGTACACCTTGGGCCCCCATCCTGCACCGGGCAGTTTGTTGAACTCTTCTCCTTTCCGCACTTACACCATTGTATCTTCATGTACATTTCAGGAGAGAACAGTGAACTTCAAAGTGAGATTACGACGCTAAAGTTAAAGCTGAAAACTGCATCAGAGCTCAAACCAGGTAGGTGTTATGTTTGAATGTTTCTCAGGATAGGGGATCTGAGTGTGTGTGGACGTGCATGTGTGCAACTTACTCAACCAGCATGCATGCTTCTGTTACTAGCTTGACTGTTCTTCTCACTCGAGCTCTCATAGTTTGTTGTTTCTCTTTCCATTTTGTTGGCTCCCGTTTCTGGAAGCAGTGTGGCCCTATATGATAGCTGTAATAATTGTTGATGGTGGTGGTGGTGGTGGTGGTGGCTGTGTTTGGGTGGGGGGTTCTGTGGATGTTTCTATTGCTGTTTGAAACTGTACTTCTGTGTTATCATGGTTATGGCGTGAACAATTGTCCAGTTTCCAGTTTCTTTCCACAGAGTAACCCAGGTGTATGCTCTTGCTAACTGGCAGCAACCTAGTGTTTGGGTGACTTTCAGACTCAGCTCATGGCCTCCTGTGTTTGTGTGTTCTCCTTTGTTCTCTTGCATTGCATAGATGATACGGACAAAGCTAGAATAAAAGAGCTTGACCGTAAGTGTCTTCTACTGTGTTGTGACACCCCCCCCCCCCCCCCCCTGTATCAATGTTGATCTTCTACTGTGTTGTGACATCCCCCCCCCCCCCCCCCTGTATTAATGTTGAAATAGTGTCTTCTACTACGTTGTGACATCCCCCCCCCTGTATCAATGTTGAAATTTGGTAATGGTACGTGAACATCATGGTTTGTGCATTTTACGACGACGGCTTGTGAAACTGCCCTTTCCCTTTTTGACAGAGCGATTGGAGGCACTTGATGAAAAGTATGGCGACCTGACACAGCAACTGGAGCAGTCACAAAGTAAGTTCTCTTGAAGCTCCACTCACTGTGAGCTCCTGCCTGTATGGCTGCATGCGTGACCATGGTCGCATTTACGTCTCTATCCAACAACCAATTTAGTGCGCATTACAAGAACGGGTACCGGTATATTTGGGTGGGTGATAATAATACTGCAGCAGTTAACTGGAGTAGAGAATGCCAGTACTCTATCGATGTTTGTGAGCCGTGTCTACTGCTTTGACTGACGCAGGAGATGGGAGCCTGGCCTATGCACAGTGTGTGTGTGTGTGTGTGTGTGTGTGTGTGTGTGTGTGTGTGTGTGTGTGTGTGGGTGTGGTGTGCCATATGGTGCAGTGGTATGTGCAGCGATTTCCAATCGATAGGTTGCAGGTTCGATTCCCGACGATTATGGTCACACACGTCTTTCTTCTCTTTCTCAGACTCCTCCTGACTTCTTTTTCATTCTCCTGGGTGGTTACCAACAGCCAGTGCATGCCGGAGTATGTGGTGTGATGTGTGTGCGTGAAAAAAATGAAAAAAAGACCAAAAAGTAGGGATTCACTGGCCAGAAAAAGCCACTTCATAGCTGTGTGGTGTAGACCAGGCTGAATAGTGGCGGTCAATTCTTCAGCCTTGCAAGCTGTTGAATGGTGCAATCCCAGCACAAGTTGCTATGGCTTCTGCTGTAGCATCGCTATCATCGCCTCCGGCGATGGGCGTCAAATGGTGTGTGGTGTTGTGTTGTGTTGTGGTCTACACCAACGTGTGTGATACATTTGTGGAACAAGACTAGTTCTTATAGCCTTGGGGGCTTTGTGCATCGTGTAGATTCCCAAATTCTTTATAACCTGTAAAGGGGAAGGAAACCCGATAGGCATGGGACTAGGACAGTGGCTTCCAAAGTAATTTCACACGTTCTCTTTTCCCATTATGGTGTGGTCCATTCACTTTGATTATGAGTGGATTCCGGAGTCCTAAGGACGACTAGTATTGGAAGAAAGGAATGTCCATTGGCACAGATTAGTGTATGTGACCCTGTACATGTGTCCCCTGCCGCGGCTTATTGTGTGTTGCAGCATCGAATGGCGAACTGCAGCAGCTGGCCAATGAAAGACTTCTGACGCTGGATAAAGTGGAAAGTGAGTTAGCTATGCAGAGGCAGATGTCATACTGTACAGGGTCAGTTTACTGTAACTGTAGACGATAACAAAGCACATTCCCGTACTAACTTTCAGTCTGTTGCTGTTGTTGGTGTTTGTTGTTGTTGCACTCATGGCGGGGCAAACTTCACTAATTGTCGTGGTTTGCTTCGTGTTGCTCAGGCGAAATCCAAGAAAAGAGCCGGGCAATTGTTGCTCTCGAAGGCCGGATAAAACAGCTGAGTGAAACCCCAGCGACTGCTGCATCGCCCCTTGTAGCTCTTCCCGTGTCGAATGGTCCCGCAGCTGTAACTCCCGTCCACGCCGTTGCCGCTGGCTCAGTGGGTAGTGATAGTAGTGTAGAAGAGATCAAGCGATTGCCCAGTCTGGACGATGGTGATCTGGGTAAGCGTCAATGTATCCATTGTGTTACTACTGTACATGGTGTTGGCTGACAGCATGTAATAGGCCATTCACACGACGTGTAAACACTTGCACGTGTGTGACCAAGAAAACCGTGATCCAGTTCACACGGTGCTGGGCAAACTTTGCAACCGTCAATGTATCCATAGTGACCTCCTGAAAATGCCGGGAAATGTTAAATTTTGAATCTTCCTTTGTTCAAGCACTGTGTTTGCAGTACGCACTTTCAACAACCGACACTTTTCCTGGCGTGCAAAGATAATCCCGAGCAAAAGGGCCTCGGCCAAGATAAAAAAATTAGCTGCACGCGTGTGTCCCAAGTTTATCGTATCCGAGAAAGGATCCTTGGAATCGGTACGATAAAAGTGAGTTTGCACGTCGTGTGAATGGCCTGTAACAAAGTGGAAATATCATACATGTCATGTACATTAATGTCGGCAACAGCAGCAGCAGTGGTACTGTGCATCTGTTTTTGTCTTTCTATTTCACTACTCTACCTTCTCATGAGCCATGCAACGCATTTTTTTATATTGTGTGTGTGTGTGTGTGTGGAGGGTAACGTTAGCTTTCTGTACCAAAGTACAGTGCGAGGCGAGGGTAGCATTCTGTACCAAATCACCCATCTAGAAATCTATGTAGCCAGGTGGTCTGCTGCACTATACTCAAAATTTAAAAATCCCAGCTTTCCAACCCTCTCCTGTGTTGTGTTGATGGTGCCGCTTTGTTACGTATAATGTTTGTCTTTGCATGTGCGCTTCTGTGCAGATGGCAGCTTTGTGCCGGGGTCTGCGTCCTCCCCAAATGGTCGGAAGGAAGGCATTGCAGCGACACGATCTTGTCGTAAGTTTCCTTGTCATCTTACAGATATCCTGTGTGACAGCCTGTGTTGGCGTATCATCTTCCAGATATCCTGTGTGACAGCCTGTGTTGGCGTGGCCTTGGATAGTCTTTCAAGTGTAACCTGTGGTTATGGTGTGGCATTGTAATTGTCTGTCTTGCATGTTGCTACTTACTCACACGATGTGATACCTGCTTCTGCCTCTGCTGAAGTTCTGACTATGCACCTGTCGTGTGCAGTTCTGTTGAACTAGTCTTTGTCTGTGGTGTTGTGTTCTGTTGCATATCTTTCCTGCGGCCTTGCTGTGCTTTTTGTCCCTGCCTCCCTGGTCATCATCGATCATGCCTGGGCGCGTGTCTAGCGGATGTAGCCCTGCCGCAGAGTCAGTCAGGTAACTACCACAGAGTCACCACTGGTGCTACTTAGTTACAGTAGTGATCATAGGATTGTTGTGTTGCTTACATTACTACACACACACACACACACACACACACACACACACACACACACACACACACACACACACACACACACACACACACACACACGCATGCTTTTGGGTATGGAACGCCATGTCATGCATCAACCCATGTTGCGCAATAATGCTCTGGAGCTTTGCTCCTTTCCACCTGTGCGGAATTTATTCCATGCATACTTATGCATGCCATCTCAACCTGCCCCGGGGGACCTTCCGCGGGGGCCATGCATGCCCACATTAGGACCATAGGGTCATTCATTCGTGTGGATTGCACCGGTCCTGGCAGTAGTCTCTGTGTGCATGCACTGCTGCATGGTATGCATTACAATCAATCGCATCATGCCATTATACCACCCCATCAGATCATCGCCCCCTCTGCTGCTGATGTGCCTATGTCTGTGTCACACAGCCGACTTGGCAGCGGCCGGTTCACTAAAAGACATGCGAATGTACCAGGCCAGTAAGTCGCACCCGACGTGCTTACTAAGTTAGCATGCATTTCTGCCATTCATTTCTGCCCTGCTTTTCGTACCATGCCACGATACCACCACCTGCCATACAGCCCACATCGTATGCCTCTCACTGACTGGCTCAGTGCAGGAGTAAAGTCAGTGCTCACACCCAGTAGAAGTGTTGTAGTGTTTGTGGAAATACCCCCAAGTGCAAAGTGCGTAAACCCAAGCATGCACACTGTACTGCTGGGTGCCTGTCCGCCCACCTACCCCGGCTTGCACACATAAGCCAGACCCCCTCCTGGCCCATGGGGCGGTGTTGCGCTTATCGTCTACTGAGCCGTTTAGATACAGAGAATGCATGGTAGTCTGCAAGCCTTGCGACGCACTTCTCCAGTCCGCCTCTCTCCTGAGCAGTCGCAGACAGGCCAGAGCCAGCTCCTTAGCCTTAGGACTAGTACAGCTTCAGGTTGGCTACAGGCTACATGACCCTTCCCCATTGCCACTTTCAGTAGCATGGAAGCATGCATCTCTACTCTCTAGCTCTATGCATCATGTCTGTTTGCTTCGGCCACACACTTCTCTAGCAGCATGCGAGACTCGTACAAGTATGTGTGCAGCTAGCACAGTAGTCCTCACTGGACAAGAAGAACAGTTTAGGAGGGAGAGAGACAGACTCTACCAGGATGTGCATGAGGATAGCTCTTCACTAGTTTTTACTACTTGCACATGATTACTTGCACACTGGAGATTCCATGAACGCTGGAATTGGTCAAAACCTGCACAGCCATGGCAGTACCCGCCGCCGTACCAGTGGCGCCAGCCCTGCTCAGCAATTGCTGGGAATCCTACCCAGAGCACGCATAGAGTACCGGTATTGCACACTGGAATTGTGTTGTTAGTACTGCATGTTAGCATACCGCTTTGCTCCCTGTGTGACTATGGCTATGGTTTAGTGAATACATGTACCCGGTGTCACGAGATCTGTCTCTTGTGCAATCTTGCTGTCCTGGTTCCATGATTCCCGCTGTACATGCCAAACTTTAATCAAGTTGATTAGGGCTGTACTAGTTCTTCAATGTACTTGCTTCTTTCCTGGTGTGTGTGTGTGTGTGTGTGTGTGCATATGTGTGGGTGTGCATATGTGTGGGTGTTTGTGTGTGCGTGTGTGTATGTGCGTGTGTGTGTGTGCGTAGTGAATGCGCCGAACCGCTCCAATCACTCTTCACCGGCGCAGTATGTTGCCATGCGTCAGAATCTATCCGACAGTCGTAAATTCATATCTCGGTAAGATCTCCTGTGCTCTTTCTTCAGTTCTCATTATTCACGTGTTAACCTTGGTGAAGTGCAATGCAGCATGATGAAATTGTGCTTCTTCCCAGCATTAAGCGGGATTCACAGAAGCTTTTTTGCGATGTGACACGCGATGCGACAGCCGCGAAACCGGGAAATCCCCAAATCGCAACCATCGCGGACCCCACGCAACTGCCGCAACAGGGCCATCGCAGGCCATCGCAGAAGTTGAGCTTGGCTCAACTTTTGCGATGCGATGCGACAAGCGATTTGGCGTACGATTTTGACCTTTTCTACAGCAAAGTTGTACAAAGGCTCAAGAGTTGCCTATAAATTTGTACAAGTTGTATCAAACCGCGCGAATATCATGGTGACGTAGCCAAATCAGCAAGACTTCGTCGCATCACTGACTTCTTCTGTGAATGGTATTTCGCGAGTTCGCATCGCACGCGTCCGTCGCAGATCGCGTCGCATCGCGTGTCGCATCGCAAAAAAGCTTCTGTGAATCCCGCTTTAGAGTTGACATACATGTAGTGGCAGGGCAGTCGAGATGATGATGCCGTTGTCGGTGGCGGCGTTATTGTATCAGTGTACATACGGTCTCCTCCTATATCTGATTCTCTCTCTCTCTCTCTCTCTCTCTCTCTCTCTCTCTCTCTCTCTCTCTCTCTCTTCATGTTATCTAACATTTCTTTGCTCTCTTTTTTATTTCCTTGTAAGGTTACAACATGAAAATAAGGACATGGGTATCGAGCAGAAGCGACTCAAGGGCCAAGTGGAGGAGCTGGAGAGTCGACTAGGACAGGAGCAGGTTGGTAATAGTCTGTTGTGCAGGTCAAGTTGTGATTGTGATGAAAGCTGCAATGCTGCGTGACCAGACAGGATTAGCATTTTTATTTTTTTAATATTTATGCTTTGTTCATCGGAACTCGTATCCAGCAAACGATGTACTGTGTAAACGGTTCATGTTTGGATGTTATTCAGACCAACTAAGATTTGCATGCATCAGGAAATTTGAACGTTTTCCCGCCAGTGTGTCTGCATGGTGAGTTGCTGTCTGTCTGTGTGCCTGCCTGCCTTTGTGCGTGGTTGTGGTGTGTGTGTCTGTGTGTGTGTGTCTGTGTGTGTGTGGTGGTGGTGGTGGTACGTGTGGTGTGTGTGTCTGTGTGTGTGTCTGTGTGTGTGTGGTGATGGTGGTGGTGGTGGTGGTGGTACGTGTGGTGTGTGTGTCTGTGTGTGTGTGGTGATGGTGGTGGTATGTGTCTGCGTGTGTGTGGTGGTGGTGGTATGTGTGGGGTGGCTGTGCTTGGATGTGATTCTTTACAGCTATCTTGCCAGCAGCAGATAGGTGCCAGCCAGGAGACGTGTCGTCAGTTGCAAGCACATGTGAGTTTGTCATACACGATTTGCCTTTAACCCTTTACCTTCTGTGTGCACATGAACCGACCGAATTTGGTCCATGGACATAAATGCACTAAAACATTCGTATCTCGATCAATTCTTGACGGAATCTCAAAAACTTAGGGGGCGTTCGAATTGTCTTCATCAGCTCTTCAAACAAATTTTTTAAAGAGATTAGTTGAAGTGCCCCATTCAAACGGTTTCTATCATTTTAGAGTTTTTCAGTGGAATTATCATGGCGATGAGGACGTCCGATCAGGTCGACCATCTCCACGTACTACGTGACGTAGCTACAGTATTCCAAACTCTTCGGAACTAATCCACCTCTCCCATCGGATGAGGTTGTGGAGTTTCGAGGAGCTCCAACTCCTCGAAAAAGTTAAAGAGTGACAATTCGAACGCGCCCTAAATATGTAGGAAGAAGCCAAAGAGTCCAGCTGTTCATTGCAACAATCGGCGAAGAGCTGCGATGCTTCCTTCCAAAGATATCGCGCTCGACATTTCAGCCACGGCAAAAGTCGAATTTTTTCTGAGTGACTGGTCTTGAGCTGGGAATTTTCCCTCTCCTGACATGCTGAGTCACCTTGGCATGCTTTGAGCGCGAGCGCAGCATAAAAAGAAACTCAAGCAAACAAATTTGAAATGTTTCCGATGAAGGAGCGAGAAATGGCTGACGAGGAGAGAATTTTCTCGGATACCCAGCGATGGGGAGTATTTGAAGCACCCTGGCGTTGGATATGTGATCACAGTAGTGTCCAGTTTGAGCTCAATGTACCCAGCTCGTGGAGAGCTTTCCAGAATGCCCAAGATTATGAAAATTGGTTGATCAGAACCAAAGATGTTCTCAGAATGAGATGAGAAATATCGCATTTGGAAATGCATGGGAATTTTGGTCAGATGTTAAAGGGTTAATTCAATTACCTATCTAATTAATAATTGCAGGTCATGCTGGTGTTCATGGCTAGCAGTGTAAGTTTTCTCCATTGCACAGTGTAACGCAATGCTCTGACTGGCAGAATGTCACTGGTAATGTGTTCTGGATTTACGACGATTTTTGAAGTACCGTATTTCCCCGAATATAAGTCTTACACCTTTTACACTAAAATTCAAGGGTAAAAAAGGGGGTGCGACTTACAATCGAGCATGACTTACTTCTGAAGTCAATAATTATATCAAAACAATAGGGCTCAAACCTGAAAAATGGGGTGCGACTTATAATCGAGTTTGACTTATAATTTGGGAAATACGGGTTATCATTGTGTCAGACTTGTACTGGACTTGTAAAGTTGTAACGGAATTTGTGTGTGTGTTGTTTATCGTCTCAATGCTTCCCTCACCCAGGTCGATAGCCAATCACTGGAGCTTATTGAACTCCGGCGAGCTGCTGCAGATAACATGCTGAGGCAGCAGCGCGAGCTTGCGGGCCGGGAAGAAGATGCATTCAACGGCTCTCCATCGAAAATGCATCCGAGTCGTGTTGTGGTAGGTGCTTTGTCTGTTTTAGTGTTCTGTGCCCTTTGCTTTGGTCCGTTGAGTACCACTTTGCTTCTCCGTTCCTCGCCTTTCCTACTGGATGACTGTGATATTTAAAAAAAATGTTGGTACTTTGTGTCATTCTTATTCCCTTGCAGATGCAGAGGAGCCACTTGATTGTGTACTGTGTCAGTGCGTTTGTTGTGGGCCTGCTTCTATCATACTTCTTAGCATGCAGATAACAAGACTCTGCCGGTCTTGAGGTTGCCTTTCTTCATTTTTACTTAGTGATAGCCTCTTGTTGAACGGCAGTAGCAGCTTCACCATGACCACCGGCCACCGTTATGGACATACCACAATCAGCGGTAGTCCCGCATGTTGAGGCAGGTTTGCGCTGCACTGGATGTATCGCACCCTCCAGCATTGCTGGCAACGCCGCGCAGAGGTATCGCTGCTATTTGCTTCACTCGTTTAGCCGTGTTCTCCTGCTTGTGCTGCATTTGCTCACTGTGGTAATAGCAGGCTTGACGCTCCATTATCCAATCCATGATGCCAATTTTATTCAGCATCCGTTCGCAATGTGCGGAGGAGCAATTTGTATGCTAACTGTACGCAGAAAGTGATATGCTAAAAGCACTGGCATGGTGCTGGTATCCATGCCCGGTCTATTTTCTGGTCTTTTCTTATCAAGTATAGATCTGTTTGCACGTGGGAACGTAGTCAACGTTCAGTCCAGTGCTGCTGTATTTCTATTATTTTAATTTCCACAGGCTCTCCTTTGTGTGCGTCTGTGTGCGTCTGTTTGTGTGCGTCCGACGTTGTCAGTAGTAGTCTCCCCGCAAGCATTAAAAGAATCTCTACTCGCCAAGTTTTGCTTCATTACTTTCTTTTTTATTACGAAACATTTTAGCACGAGGTTAGCCGCAGTATGTCTGTTTCCTCTGTATATACGGTAGTGAAGTTGAGTATATGTATCATGTTCCTCCCAATGACATGTGTAGCTTCTTACCATTGTCATCTTAGCAGTAGTATCGTATGGACCTACCTTTATGGGTCTGGTTCTCTTGTGATTAGAATCTGGCACTGTATATTCTCGCGAACTGCATGGCAGATCGAAACGTACAGTGTGTTTCTTCTTTTTTTTTAATGAACTACATCACTTTATTGTACTTGTAGCCGCGTGTGTGTGTGTATGTGTGTGTATGTGAGAGAGCCAAGTTGCTATGGCTTCTGCCGTAGCATTGCTATCATCGCCTCCGGCGATGGGCGTCAAAGGTCAGGTCAGGTGTGAGAGTGTGTGTGTGTGTGTGTGTGTGTGAGAGAGAGAGAGAGAGAGAGAGAGAGAGAGAGAGAGAGAGAGAGAGAGAGAGAGAGAGAGAGAGCGAGAGAGAGCGAGAGAGTGTGTGTGTGTGAGAGAGAGAGTGTGTGAGCGTGTGTGTGTGTGTGTTGTGAGCGTACATTTGGCAGGCGGTTGAGCAGATATGCAGAGATAGAGTAGTATTGCTGAAGTCCGGAGTGTCAGGGTTTGATAAAGGTAGCAGTATCTTGGTTGATTGAATGCTGTTGATGACTCGATGATGAGTTGTCATTTCGAGCATACTGGGTATGTGGCACTCGGTTTAGCATTACGACACCTGCCCACTACATGCACCAGCTTTGCTTTGTGTACATCAGGGCCAGGGAGCCATATCTAAACCAGACACTGATACGAATGTGACCATTGTCGTGACCCATGTGACGCGCGATGACAAGCCTACAGCTATAAGAAAGGCACACAAGACCGTTGGTTTTTCTCACTAGGATAAGATTTTATTGAAACGGCTTAACCTGTTGTAAACCTGGAGCAGTCACCTGGTAGGATCAAAGATGGAATAGGATAATAATAATTAGAACAAAATATTATACACATGATGCATGTACATGTACATCATCGTCACCAGGCTTGCTCTGTTGTGACCTTGGTCAGTGGTACAGCTTGCTATTGTTGCCCAACTCGCGGGCCAAGGGCATACAGCTAGTCTAGAGTTGTTGTATCATGCACAGAGAGTCATCACCCTGGACTAGGTAGCATAGCATTATAGCACAGCAGCCAGCTAGATACGCTATCATCACAGAGAAAACAAAGCAGAGATGAAATTGAGGACCGGAAAGATACAGAAAGCAGAACGTGCCCAGCAGTGAATGGTACAAGACGTGTTTGCTCTAGATTGAGCAAGTTCCCTGGGTGATGTCCAAACATCGCCCTGGGGGTACCTTGCAGACTGGCACTGGATACAGCATTGAAGACAAGGGCACTATTTTCTGGCAACAGTTTGACTGGGGCGGCACCACCAGCAATCAACATTGTGTTCGACAAAAAATGGCACAAACGGGGAAAAATTGGCCAAGAAAAATAAAATAATGTACAACCATTCGCCCTATAGCAGATACAAATAGCACAAGAAAGTCAAGCCTAGCATAGAAATGTTCTCTGTCGCCTCATGGTCACCGACACGTCAACTAAGAAGCTGTGGATGTTCCTCTGTCTTACAGCATCACGCATCCACCCTTCTTCTTCTTGGCTGATGTGGGACTCTTGGCGTTGATCTGGCGTACGAGATCGAAGAAGAGCTGCAGAGGACGCGGAGTCGCAGGGTAATAGACAGATTAGTGATCGAGTTTGGAACTTCCATGCAGAACATGACAGCGGCTGCCTAGCACACTGTAGTGCATGGAAATCAGCATCCGCAACGCCACCCTGACTACAACCAACTACTACTAGATTCTCCTACATTCCGACGGTAGTCTAGATCACGCAAAGTATAGCTCCAACAAGGAAGCTCAGGGAGGGAGGGAGTAATGCAGAGATATGGAAAAAGCAGCTTACCTCCATTACGTTGATTTTCGCTTTCGCTGATGTTTCAATGAAATTACTACAATACAGAAGGAGTGACAGGAACACAAAACAGAACATGAAGAGACAAACATGTGCACTCACAAACGCCAATAGGTGCACAGCACAATGCTACAAGTGAATGTCCACCATCCAAGAAAGTCGTAGCATGGTACAGTATGCTGCAGTGGCACTGAACACCAGGGTTACTGACTGCACAGCAGCCGTATAGTCAGTCGGGTCGGCTTACCAGTGAAACTCCTTGGCCTTGCCCGAGCCTTGGTCTTTGGTGACGATTCTCTCGTCTTCCAGGTCACACTTGTTTCCTACGAGGACCATGGGTACCTGCACAGGGCAGAACAGCGACAACACGACTATCATGAACCACACCGATAACTAGCACACATCAATACAGTCCAGCATGTATCCATTTCTCCCATAGCAGGGTCACCAAAACCAGTGACTGTGCTGATCACAGGCAAGGCCCGGATAACATCTGTGATTCCCTGACATTATCGTACGACGCAGCACAGAGTACGCAGCACGCAAGTACAGGTGTAGTGGTGACAAGCGCAGGCTCCACAACACATCAGCACTGTGAACCCAGCATTGTAGTCATGCTATTACTGACCGTGCATGCTGCTACAGTTTCCTTAACACACCCCACGTAACACTTGATACAGTGATGCAAGATCATACAACATAGGTCAGGATCAGAAACACTGCATCGTTTTCACCGTACCACCCGAAGGCATCACCAGAACCATCATTGCTGGCATCCTACACTACGACGACGACCCAGCTTCTCGCTCTCATTATGTATACAGTCAACCTTGTGAATAAAGACCCTGGATCAGCCATGAGAAAAGTGCTGATCACGGTATGGTTAAAAGTAGGCGATCAAGTGGTTACTTGGTCTGAGCTAGTGTGGTCTGAGCTAGTGCTGGTATTTGCATGTTGTCGTTTATCCAATGTTGTTCTTGGCAAGCCGGCTGACTGTATCTTGGATAAACATACTTATATTATTACTTACTTCTTGTGAATCTTTCACTCTGCCGATCTGGTCGCGCAGGTCGGTCAGGTCGTTGAACGTGGCCTGCGCGGTAATGCTGTAGACCAGAGCAAAGCCCTGGCCGTTCTTCATGTACAGGTCGCGCATGGCCGTGAACTGCTCCGTACCGGCTGTGTCTAGGATCTCCAGCATGCATTGCTGGCCGTCCACCTCCACCTGCTTGCGGTAGCTGTCTTCGATTGTCGGATCATACTTCTCTACAAAGATGCCCTGGACGAACTGCACCGTCTGCAAAAGCACACAAACACAGTGTGAAGCCAGGAGCAAGTGAGACACCAGTATATGTACCTGCTTGCACACCAGTAAGATCTACAGCCAGTGCAGGTCTTGCCCAGAATATGCAGTTAGCAAGTCTCATCAGAGTGAGTGCTTGTGTGTGTGTGTTCGGGTAAGACGTGCAGCCCGGATCAGACCAGTACCACTGAAGAAGGCTAGCCAAAAAGCAACACAGGGACAACTGAACTCAGGTAGAGACAACTCCGTTCAGCATCAGAATCACTATCGATGGACCCCACTGTCTGAACCCAGAAAAAGTGTTAGTTACATCAACAACCGTACAGACTACACAACAATTCCCAGTAGACTGCCAGCCATGCATCCCTGTCTCTTATCAGCCTCTCACAAGAAGCTGATGGGTTTGCCTGGGCAGTTGTGATAACATTTTTTTTGTCAATGCCAACTATTTAGTATGTGCATGCTACCCAGCATTGTCAAAGTCTTTGTCGTTCCAGCAAGGGAGGACACCATGCATAACTTTGACCCATGAAACGCTGGGCGTCGTCTGCTGGAAAAACAATTCTCTGACACATTGACAAAAGCCCTAACACGCCTCCCTATCAGCTATGCATGGTTGCAGCCAGCAACAGTCTATGAACAACAGGAATGCAAAGACTAGAAACGAACACACTACTACAAAATGCAAACGGTTAGTTGTGCGACAACTGTGACAAACCGCTAGGCTCAGCTACGAACACTGCACTGGAGCGCAGGCAACTGTTCATTGCCAGGCCGTACAACACAATCAAAGCAATGATGTAGCTGCAGAGTAGCACAATGTGATGATCATCGACAGGATCGATACTACCGGCTTGCTCTTTATGGGCCGAGAGCGACATTGCTCACCAAAAGTAGGCAATAGAAACAAACAACACGACGACCGCCACGTACCCGCTGAACCGCAACTAGCAGAGCGTTCCAACTAATACTTTCATATCAACATTTTATTAATTGTTATCAATCAGACCAGACGAGAACCCTGTAGTGTAGCCCATCCCAGTCATGATCGTGGCGAGATCAGTGTCGGCACTTGGTCGCTCGGCGCCCACCGGACCTGCGCTGCAGGTTCGACATTTCCTCCCCAATGAATAATAATATTTTGACAATAGCAAACATTACTCCGCCCGCGCACCTACACGCGCACACACACATGAGCGAGTAGAGAAACCGAGAATAGCACGTCGTTACTGTTGCGTTGGTGTTTCCCTTCTTCACTCTCGATCTCGTGGAGTGATGTCTACTGCAGTGATGACACTTACAAAGTTACATGCCTTGTGCAGTTGTGCACGATGAAGAGTGGGTAAATCAGATCATGCAGCAAATAGGCACTGATGACGGCGATCCGAGCAGAAAACTACACCGGCCCATTCTATGGTTCGTATTGTCCAGAACATTTCTCGACATCCAGAAGTGGGCACTTTCTATTTTGATGGACATCTCGACAAACGACAAGGTCCACTTGCATATCACATACTACTACTACTACTACTACTACTACTATAGTACTACGATACTAGTAGCAGATAATACTATGGTTGCGAGCGCTATAACAGTTACGTACTCCATAACAACAAATCACTTGAACGACACAGGAAGTCTCCAAGCTACACGACATGGCAAAAGGCTCTCCGATGCAGTGATTATGTCCACGTCAATTTTCTCCAACACGCCGCATGGTGCTGGCTTTCTGTTTACAAACGAAATTCAAGTTACTACTACTAGACAAGTGCGGGGATGAAGGTTGAATGGATGAGAAATGATGAGATTTTAGAGCAAGTGGTTTACAGCAGATGCAAGGAACCGACAAACCAAGCAGCACATGGCCAGTGCGGAACGATACAAAACAATCATCTCGCACACAAACACACACACACACACTTGTGCAAAATGTTGAAACGACAACAGAGTCGCAGACGACCAGCACCAGTAGAGTATTTGTGAATCGAGGTCTTGCCTCGGCACACTACACGGACACCCAGAGCGAAATATCGCCATCGCGCCTTACATACACACAAACTTGCACTTGCTTTTGGCGAAGCAAAATGAACGCATGCACAGGACAATGCGAAGATTCACGATCGGATTGTCACTCACCAGAGCACTCTTTCCAACACCACCCGCTCCAAGGACAACTAGCTTGTATTCTCTCATCGTGTTAGATCGACAAGTCAGCAGCAGATTCCGTAACGGCCAAGATCTTTCAAAATACCAGCAACACTCCTGGCCGGTTGAACGTTCCGTCCAGCGAGCAACGGATCGTCGGACGCGCACAAAGTAGTTCCCAGTAGCAAGAAACTGGGTACGGATGTGTAGGAAACTGCTCACTAAACGCTAGATGGAAGCGGGTCACCTCTCACTCTCGCGAGTCTCTCACTGTCTCAGCTGAGCAACAAGAACAGTTCAAACGCTACCACCCAGAATGCCTGAACAGGAGGCGCTAGGTGTCGTTGTTACGTCTAGCTACTGCGCAATATGTGCACTCTTTCTCACTTCAAAAAAAACTGTTGGAACAGCACTGGCCGTTGAGTGTGTGTGTGTGAAGCCACGCCAGTTGTCTGACAGCTGATATGGGCTACCATTTCCAATAGGTTTTTATAGTCATGCTACAGCTGTACTTAGCATGTGCGCGGCGCAAGCCAGCTTTTTTCTACTGTGGGCACGCACGCGCGCCGGCCAGGCACTGAGGCAGCCAATGCCTTAGCCTTGTCGCCTCAGACTCAGACTCAGAGTCAGAGTCATCATGGTCATCAGGTCAACATAACCATGATAACAGGGCTAGGGCTACACAGACTACAAGACTACATCACTCAGTACGAGGTCAACAAGTCGACTCTTCTTGCAGACGCGCCCGCGGCCCGCCGCCTGACGAAACACAAATCACGGCGTACCGCGTGGTCCGACACAGGCACACGCGCGCGCGCACACACAACCCGCACATGGCCAAGCACGCACCACACATGTGCGCACAAGCGCACAAGCGCGCACGCGCAAGGCGATGCGCACTTGCGCAGACTAGGATTAGTAAAGCTGAGCATAGCAAAGGCGTGGATAACACTAACAGTCATGTCGTTATGCACAAAACTTCAAGGAGGCGTGATGATCAAGATGACATCGCGATATGCCATTGCCTTTCTGGTAGCTGGATGCTTCTGCATTTTAGTCCTGCGCGTTCCAGAGATCACGAACTGGTGACAGAGGCGTCGACATGTCACTGAACACTAGCACTGTCCCTGGCCACGGATCGGATCGGAATCAACAAACCAACATCACAAAGACAAATGCGGCAGAACTACTTCTCGTCTGACACCTCACCACGCACTCAAGCAGCTAGTAGATCTACCGCCGGTCCGGACTGACAACATCTCATGCACTCACGATCAACAGTCAACGCCGCCTCGCGCAAAGCGCTGCCGCATGTGTACGTACCATGTGTACTGATTATGAGTCTGTATGCCGCGTCGGTTCATCCGGAATCAGCCTGCATAAAAAATGTGTCATTCTGCTGATGTGTCGACTGCCTGTTGGCACTTGACAGGCTGCTGACATCGATCGTCGCTCATCACGACATCAGCACTTCACTCACTTTACTTGTCCGTGATCCAGTGCCAGTTATTTGTGTGTTTTTGAACTGCTGTTATTCCATACCTGTAGGCAGTAGCGTTTCATCAGATCAGAGAGTCGTGCCCCTGCCCTGTACTACTAGTACTACTGGTTTATTTCAGCAGTACACGGCGATGGCAGTCGTGTTGGGTGTGCAACTAATACTGTAATAGTAATAACTTGTGACTGTGTATGCACCTGTAGATCCATCATGAAGTGTCATGTGGGTCATGATCGAAGTGCTGCACTCCACTCCACTGCCGGCATGCCCCACTGCCACTGCCCCACTGCATACGAGCACATGACTGCATCACAGGTATTTTTGGCTACAACAAGCTCCGCCTGTCCCGTCACTGTCTCACAACAGCCTGGCCCTTGGCAAGAAGCAATCCTGCTCGGACTCAGTCGTGCGACATCTTCACCATGCCACTACTTCGAAGTACTTTAACCCTGTCCTGTTTGTTGTGTTGGCTCAAAGTCATCCATTTGAGTAGTGCGGCAGTCAATGACACTAGTGACTACAATGGATGTTGATCATGGAAAGAAGGAAGAACACCACAGATACAATAGATGAAACTCGGCGATAACATATAAAATGATCATTTGAAATACTTGAAGTACTCTACACTCTACAGTGTAGTAGTAGTACAGTAGTACTGTACATACAGACAGACAGTGTGATACACTGGCTACAATTACATGTACCGGAGATCCGGACTCACGAGCACACTATCACTTGTAAGTACTTTATCAGCCTATCAGCTACTGTACAGCAGCATGGTCTGAAATCTGTACTGGAAGTGTAGACTGTCACATAAACAGTCATGATAGTGCAATGACTATGACGTAGTGGCAAGGCCCAGCATGCAGGTGACAGTGTGCGAGCGTGCCTTTCCCCACCCCAATGTGGCAATGTCGTCACTGAATCGCGGTAGTATGGCCGGACAGCTGCAGCTGAGGCTATAGCCGGCTGTTAGAATGAGTGTGAGAATTGTTTGTACCGGTAACTGTAACTGTAAGCATCAGTGACTGAGACTCTGTACTACGAGTACTGTGACGTGTGAGCGTGAGTTCAACAAGTAGAAAAAGTAGAAGACCTTTAAAGCTTTCTGCTTTCCAACACTGGCAACACTCCCCCCCCCCCCCCGCCAACAGTGGTAGATCATAGATGACTCATGCATGCACTAATCCACGCACGGCTGTTGTGTGGTGCCGTAAACAACATTTCAAAACATTGCCGACTCCAAGCGGCAAGAATACTAGTATCCCAGATGCACCTGACTGTAGTCGTAAACTGCTAAAGGTGTAAACTATTAGTAGTAATTCTTTCTTCAGCGATATCTAGTAATGACCTGAGGTGCAGGCAGGACTGAACAGTGAAGTAAATTGATGATTGTTTACAGTGTAAACTGTTGTGAGGGGAGGAGGAATTTGCGCTCGCCAAACACACACACTGCAAAATGAAAATACACTGCAATGGTACCTGCACTCACTGTCACTAATGTAGAACACCCAATCCTGAGGCAGCAGCTTTATTATTGACTACAAATTCCTCTCACTTGGAACTGTTGGAATGCAGACATGCTTACACGTTACATTCTTTAATAAGATGTCTTTTACTTCCAAGCTCACATGTAAGATTAGAAGGCATACATAGTTGCATGTTTGTGATGCAACTCTAAAATAAAAGTACAACAACAACAAGTCAACAACTATTCTGCTGTAGAAGCAGAAATGGAAATGAACTCAGTGGTCCGACGTTGCATGTGCCTACTTGTACTTTTCAGTTTTTGTCAACCATGGCTGCCTGTGTTAGTTGAGTTGTTGTTGTTGTTGTTGTTGTTGTTGTTGTTGTTGTTGTTGTTGTTGTTGTTGTTGTTGTTGTTGTTGTTGTTGTTGTTGTTGTTGTTGTTGTTGTTGTTGTTGTTGTTGTTGTGTTGTTTCCCGTTATCAAGAGTACATAACCCGTAAGCTCCTTTGCTCTTGCTTCTTCTCCTGGTACTAAGTCTTCACCACAGTGGTGTTCGTAGTTAGAGGCGATCCCAAACCATCACCAGTGTCAATGACCTGGTCACGAAATCACACTTGTATAAAAATGTAGCAAATACGAATCATGACGCTGCAAAATCGCTTATCAGACTAAATAATAATTACATAGCAATTTGTTCTTCGCTACTACCCCCTGGGCCAACCACACGTTGATGCGCCCACCACGCTCCGATGCCCCTAACCTCACTGCTTTCTCTCTCTCTCTCTCTCTCTCTCTCTCTCTCTCTCTCTCTCTCTCTCTCTCTCTCTCTCTCTCTCTCTCTCTCTCTCTCTCTCTCTCTCTCTCTCTCTCTCTCTCTCTCTCTCTCTCTCTCTCTCTCTCTCTCTCTCTCTCTCTCTCTCTCTCTCTCTCTCTCTTTCCCCCTTTGAAATTCGCTTCCATAGAATTCGGCACCATTACCCGTTTGGCCTTGCGAAGTAAAATAAAAATCAACAACAACAAGAACAACAAACTTCGAAGTGCAATGCATCAAATGTATGAGCAGCAGTAGTTCACTCTCCAACTCGCTTTACTTGGGCTGGTTGCGGTGGGGAAAGACCTTTAGTGAACGCTGCATTCTTTATCATGGACCCAGTGGTAGTACATGGCAGTACATGTAGCCCTACCTCAACGGCTCAAGCCAAGGAGCACAACATCCAAGATAACATTATTCTGTCACAGGTCGAATTCCATGTGCCGTCTGCCCGTCTGTCCCTCATTGTCAGTCTGTATTGTATTGTTCACCATCATCGTGGTGTGTGGCGTGCCAAAGCATGCAGGGTTGGTACCGATGGTTGTATTCAGTTCAAAGACTAAGTGAATGTGCCGATGGCATCTGCGAGGTACCCCGGGCTGTACGTTCTGGTCAAGTTGTCATTCCTCCCTACAGAAGCTGAGGAGATTCTTCTATCGCTGATTCAGCCCCACAATGGCCGGTGAGGGCTCCAGACGGCACACTCGGCACAGCCAACACGTCGTGACAAAGTCTGTTACATGCTGGGACCATGTTGTTGGTTGACAGCAATACAAGGCGAAACAGTGCCCCTTTACTAACAGTTACAACCATCCACGGTTGGCGGAGCCCCGGGCTTGCGACCATTTGAACCGTATGGGCGTTAGCCCTGGTTCTGACCTTTATTACTGTAAAAGCCATATATATTATAACGAAGTGCTAACTCTAACGAGTTAACGAGGAGAAATCTGTCGTTTAAATAGAAATCGTTATACAGAATTCGATACATAATATACTGTCCTATTGAGCGTTGAGAAAAAGTGAGAATCGTTACCTTTGGTACACGTAAACCAGTCAATTTTGGGAAATCGTCATATATGCGCCTTGTTAGAATAATGGTTTTACAGTATACGATAATAGCACAATAACAAAACCAAAACAAGAAGACTCAAACAAATCCCTAGTACAATGAGGAGGAGGTGATGGTAGTGGAGAAGGAGGATGATGCTGCTATTATATAATAATCTTTATTTCAGGATTACCCAAAGGCTAACGCCTATCTGGGGGATCTCCTATTTGTGTATGTACTAGTAACATAGTTATGGATGCGAGAGAAAGTGCGCAAAGTGAGTGTGAAATGTTGGTTTTAAAAAGGAATAATAAGAAACACAAGGAAAGAAAGTAAGACAGAAAAGAAAGAACAAGCATGTAAATCAATGATTGCACATCAAAGGTGTACCAGTGCAGTCGAACTGATACTTAGCAATGTGAATACGTAAATGACGCTTGAATTCAGATAGGGAATCTAAAGTTGTCAATCGGGGTGGAAGACAATTCCAAAGAGAACCAGTTTTCTGTAGGAAAAGGGATGAAAAAATACGACCATGTGAGTTAAAAATGAGCTTTTTTGGCCTACGGGCACTACGTGATATGGTTATCGCAAAGCGAGAGAGATATTCTGGGTGAAAAT